TTTTTTTTTTTTTTTTTTTTTTTTTTTTTTTTTTTTTTTTTTTTTTTTTTTTTTTTTTTTTTTTTTTTTTTTTTTTTTTTTTTTGTGCCTATGAATTGTTGAATAAAGTGCTCCTTTGTTATTTATTCAGTCATCCCGTTTCCAAGGCACAGTTGTTCTCTCAGCTCAGCTCAGCATCATTTTCAATTTCCTTAATCACATCTCTTACAAATCTTCACGTTTCCACATCATTTTGTTTTTATCAATCTCATTATGCACATATCATTTAATGTTAATAGGAATGAGCAGATCACAAGGGCCTTCATCACTCAAAAGAAAAAGGCCAGAACCAGCTCATGGCCATGGAGGAGCTCTCATTGAGCATGAGAAAGTGCTGTATGACCTGATTTGCAGCAAGCAAAGCATGGGGATTTGGATTGGGGACATGAAAAGAGAAACAAAGTATCCTGACAATGTGGTAACTAAATCACTGAAGGCCCTTCAAGCCAGAGGCCTGATTAAACTAGTTGAACACTATCAAAACAAAGGGAAGAAATTCTACCTGTCAAAAGATTTCGAACCATCGAAAGAACTGACCGGCGGTAATTGGTACAGCGATGGAAAGCTCGACAGAGAATACATCAGTACTCTTAAAGGGTTCTGTGCTAGAATGATACAGAAGATGAAGGTGGCTACAATTGAAGGGATCGTGGACGCGTTCAAGAAGAGTGGAGCGTCCAAAGTGGACTTGTCTAGGGAGCAAATTGAAGAGATTGTAAATGCTTTGGTGTTGGACAATGAAGTGATGGAGGTGAAGAGCACCGGGGCAGGGGAGTTTGATTTTATTCCTGTTGGGAAGATTTGTTATAAGAGCTATGCTAAAGGAGTTAAAGGGGAGCCCAAAACAGGGGCTATGGCTTCTACTCCTTGTGGAGTCTGTCCAAGGATTAATCATTGCACCCCAAATGGCATCATTTCGCCTAGGACTTGTGTGTATTACACCAAGTGGTTAGAATTTTAGGTTTGAAGCTTTCTGAGGTTGGTTTTAAGAGAACGAATGGCCGAGAATTTCCCCTCTAACAATACGAACTATGCTCGACTTGGCAATTCTAGAAAAGTTTTAGCTGTCTATTCTTTATTGTGTTCATAATCTGATGTGGCTGCTGTTTCAATATTATGGACTCCAATCCCGCCTCATAGCTGAGGTCGGGTTAAAACGTGGGCGGTATTATATGTTATGTGTCATGGCCATCTTTATCCAAAGGTGCAAGTGGGTACCATTTTACATGAACCGTTCACAAAACAGCTTCAAATGGGTACTATTTTACTTCAAAATTATATGAATGGTTCACGTAACCAAGAGTCACCTTTGGGTTACCCATTTATGACTCATAAATCATTCTCAAATTCTTGATTTTTTGTCACGATTTTCTTATTAGAATAATCTTTTATGACGTTTAACAAATAACATGAATTCATAATTTTACAGTTATATATATGTTAATTAAAATTTAATAGTTATGTGGATAAGTATGGACCTTTGGATTATGGTTGGTTTAAGATCTGATTGTTTCAATAAACTGATTTTAGTCTAGTATTTGAATTTAAATACACGGTAGAGACTCGACTCTATTCGAAGAGGTGCGTATCCTTCTGACTTTTAAAGTTCAGATAAACTATTATTACGTATTTATGATCTGTTTACTCTGTTTATGTTATATATATATATATAGATCGGTTCGATTCGCGATTTAGTGAATTATAAACAATTTTGAGGAAAGTTGCGAACGATCGAAAGAAAACGTGATGGCAGCATCAGAATTCTTGTTAAAACTCCTGCAAATTTCTACTTTTTACGGCCTGACTGAGTCGTAGTTCGCTGTTCATCGTCCAAAGTCGGCGTTTAAGCGATGCAGTCCCAATCTCAACAGTGTCACCAGCGAAATGTTTCTGGATTTTTGTTTTCTTTATTCTAATAATCCATCAGAATCTTAAAAATTTGCGCATAAAGCTTTTTTCCGTGACAAAGGGGGAGAGGAATTCGATTCCTTTGTCGAACTGAGCTTTCGAGGAATGTAGCATATTAATTTTGTCTGCTGTAGTGTTTTTTGAGGTGGTACCAATTTGTTTCTTCTCTGCCTTCATGGATTCTAATGTACGAGCTCGTTTCACACTCGGCAAACAGTCGTCGCTCCAGCCGGAACGGCAAGGCTCGACAGCGGTTGCTGAGGAGTTGGATGATTCGATCGCGATTGATCCTGGGATTAAGCTGATGTACCTGTCGAATGATGGCGACTCGGATGGGATTAGAGAGCTGCTGGATTCGGGTGCCGACGTGAATTTTCGCGACATTGACGGCCGAACCTCTTTGCATGTTGCTGCTTGTCAGGGCAGGCCGGAGATTGTTGAGATACTACTCGAAAGAGGAGCGGAGGTCGACGTTCAGGACCGATGGGGCAGCACGGTGAGTTTTGGGATTCTCTGTTTCTGGTAATACTAGATTTACATGGCTTCTATGTTTCTTGAGATTTCGAGATTTTCATTTTGATCAACTTTTCTGGCTTCCAAATACAAAAAGAAAAGGGCGTAAATGCTTGTAATAAGTTATCTGAAAACTTTCAGATAGGTATGTTGGACATTGCATAAACGATTCTTTGTCTTCCAAACGATACAAAGAGGGGTGGAGATTAAAGCCATGACAAGCCTTTCTATTGTGAATGTGACGATTGTAATTTTTAACAGTTCATGCATGGGAGATTCCACAACTGTTGGAGAGGAGAACTAAACATTTCTCACAAGGGTGTGGAAACCTCTCTATAGTAGACGCGTTTTAAAACTGTAAAACTAACGACAATACTTAACGGGTCAAAGTGGCTAATGTCTGCTAGCGGTAGGTTTGAGCTATTACAAATAGTATCAGAGCTAGACACCAGACACCAGAGAGTGTGTCAGCAAGGACGCCGGGCCACCAAAAGGGTGAATTGTGAGATCCTACCTTGGTTGGAGAAGAGAATGAAGCATGCAGACAATATCGGCTAGCAGTGGGTTTGGGCTATTACAATGGGTCTATCTATTGGTGGGTTTGGGCTATTACAATGCATCTATCTATTGAAGCCTTGTTCCTTTTTGTAAGAAACTGTTTCATAGCTGGTTACAATACCCATTTACTTATGGTTCTTAATCTCCATTTTCTGTTTCTATGTAATACTCAGGATTAAGAAAATGGAATGGTAGAAGAGCTTAGAGTTGTAGAATCAGGAAATTTAGAATTTATTTTGTGTTTAATAGCCTCTTGCAGATGCCATATATTACAAGAATCAGGAAGTGATCAAGCTCTTAGAGAAACATGGTGCTAGGCTACCGGTAAGAAACTGTGATTGGCACAGGTGATGTGCATTTGCTTTTATTCTGTATGTGCTTCTCACCTTGCTATGTTCTCATTTTACTTACAAATTGCTGGCAACATTCCCTCTTGTATTATCCCAGATGGCTCCAATGCTTGTGCAAAATGCTCTTGAAGTCCCGGAATATGAGATCAATCCAAATGAGCTTGATTTTTCTCAGAGTGTGAACATTACAAAAGTAAGTTGTTGCCTACTCCTTGCATTCACGCTAAGTTATCGGATTTCTTTAATACATACTTTTAAAATTTCTGCTAATTTTTTTTTTTTTGTATATTGATATCATAGCAAATTCCATAGTTTAGATAAGATTGAGAAAACTCTAAATGAATTGGCTGTTTGATTGTTAATTGGGATGTGCGAAACAGAAAATCTGAAACAGTTTCAGCCAATTTTTCGATTCATCCTTCAGGAGCCTAAACTTAGTAAGAATAAAAGAATTTCTACCACTTCTTAATCCAGCATGCATAACACAATGATTACATTCTCACTCCAGGCCTAAGCACGGTGGCAATGTCTTCGCTTGCTAAGATTAGAAAGCCTCCATGCTTAGATATCAATTAAAACTATGTCAATTTTTCTAGCTTACAATTCCCATACTTGTGGTTTGACTTTTGCTTCTGCACATTGATGAAATCTCTTACAGTTTGAAGAAAAAATTGAAGGATATAGCCAGTTTATTCTAATTATTGCTTAATACAGAACCTTGCTGATATGCACGTAGTGAATTTGGACGTTAATTTATTTATATAACAGAAATAAGAAATCAGCTGACTTCACTTTTGCCAGTCCTCTGAATCCATTTAAATTTAATTAAACAGGGAACTTTCTGCATTGCATCATGGCGGGGAATTGAAGTTGCTGTGAAGACACTAGGAGAGGAAGTTTTCACTGATGAGGATAAAGTGTAAGTTTGGTTTTATGAATTTAGTGTTTCTGTTTCTTATGTTTATCATACTTCCACTAACTCATCAATATTGGAGGTGGACTCATTAGTTCCTCACAGTATCTCATGGTGCCCCTTTACATCAGATATTGAAATGAAACTTTAACCTCTTGGTATCTATTTTATAGTAAAGTTTTAATGTTACAGGAAGGCATTCAGGGATGAACTTGCTTTACTTCAAAAGATACGGCATCCTAACGTTGTCCAATTTTTGGGAGCTGTAACACAAAGTAGTCCAATGATGATTGTCATGGAGTATTTGCCACAGGTCTGTCCTATTTTACAACTTTATTACATGAAGGAAATTTGACCACATTCTTCTTTGGAGAAATTTGCAATCTCAAACTTTGTCATTTAAAACACTTAAGTGACAAATCAGCATGGTGAAATAGATAGCTGTCATAAAACTTTAAGATTGCATGTTTCAGTTTGTGAATACATTAATGTTATGATCAAAATGTAATCTGTTTACATTCTTAATGATTTTGTTTAGCACAATATGTTTTCTTTCAAACTGTTTCTTAGAAAATCTGCTGAGCAACATTCCTTTAGAGTACCATGTTGTAAGATTTGAGTGGAGCAGTTGCCTTGATATGTTGAAATCTTTCAATAATGTAAAAGTTGATGTCAACGTTGAAATTGGTCTCGGTATAGTGGATGAGGAGAAAGAATAAATGAATATAATGGTCTATTTGTGTAGGATAGAAGTGTTTTGGTTTCTTCATCTTGGTGTCTCAGATCCAAATTTTTTATACTTCCTCTCTCAACACCACATTTTATTGAATTTTTGCAATGCTTGTACATTTCATATATCACTGAATTATTTTTTTTTTTTATAATTTTATTTTCCAGGGAGACCTTCATGCATACTTGAAACGTAAAGGTTCCTTGAAGCTAGCAACAGTTGTTAAGTTTGCTCTTGACATTGCTAGGTCAATTCAGTTTTATGCTCCTTAAACTTGTTTGAAAGGTTTTTTTTTTGGTCTGGATAGTTTTTAATTGATCAATTATTATAGTAAAAAGCAAATTTGAAGAAGTATGATGGTATGCGCTAGTATTACTTCATGTCACTCACATTGCCAAGAGCTCATATTGATCCTTGCATTTAAGGTGTGTCTTCACATAGTTCTGAAATTAGATTTATCTTGATGTGATGGCTACTTAAGATGGCTTCGTCATGAATAATGACATATACATATATTTACTTGGAATTTCAGAGGAGATCACTTTTTCATTAGAGAGAGATCAGGTGAGGAGGTTTGTGAGGTGGCTAGGTTTAATGTCTCCTTGTGGTCGTCGTCACAAAGTCTTTTTCTAATTATGATCTTGGTCTTGTTCTTTTAGATTGAAGTTCTTTTTTGTAGTTATGGTTGAAATTTTTGTTGGAGCTTGTTTCTTATATTCCCTCATATATCCTTTCACTAAGAATTTCATTTTTCATAATGAAAGTGCAGTTTCTTACTGGAACAAAAGTTTGGATAGTGATTTCAACCAAAAAATAACTAAAAATTCCCATGATTGATGGAAGGAGTTTATGAGATAGAAGGTGCACATAAAGATTTGCACAGAAGAGAATCTCTGCTTACAAAGAATGACATTAGATAGGTTGCATTTTGGCTCAAAGATTTTGTTTTTAATCAGTTCAAATTCTATTTAGTGTTGGACGAATTCTTTTGTTTGAATTGGATATAACTGAAAAAAATTTATCGACCTTGGTCTAGATTTCTTCTACCCAAACTGTGTTGTGGGTTGTTTGTTCTATTTCCAATACGTCTTAGTTTTGCTAACATAATTCTAACATATTTTACAGGGGAATGAATTATTTACATGAGCATAAACCTGAAGCAATAATTCATCGCGATCTTGAACCTTCGTATGTTTTTGTCTCTTCTCCCTTACCATTTTATCTTTAGAAATAGTTGTAGGAAAAAACAGATTGGAAATGGTTAGAGTAGAACATGTCATGTGCCGATGCATAGTAGAGCTTTGGGCCAATAGAACAGGCATCAGAAGTGACAGGATCCAAATTGAAATTACCATGCCTGAATTCCTTTTGTTTATAGCTTCTTCAAGACGGTGAAGAAAAAGAGTAAGAGCATCTTCTGATGCAGGCACTCTAAGATTTCATGCAACTATTTCTGTAGATATCTAATAATCATTGTATCCTTTATGAAGCAATATTTGTTTGGATTAATCGGTAACTATCATGTAAACTGATACAATAATATACAACCATCTTTTCAGAGATGGCGTTACGGTGCCAATCTAGACAAAATGAAAATTTTGAACTAACTTCAACAATAGATTTAAGTGTTTAATATTTTTTTCATCAGTGTACTTGAAGCGTTAGGCTTCCGTTGGCATGAGTTGCAAAATAATCAATTGCTAAATAGTATGACACGAGATGTAAGTTATCAATTGCTGAATAATTTGAACTTTGAAGGTTGCTTATTTGTTTATGAGTAAGACAACAGAAACATACTGCGGGATGATTCTATGCACCTGAAAGTTGCAGACTTTGGAGTTAGCAAACTTCTGAAATTGTCAAATAGGGTCAAAGAAGACAGACCTGTGGCTGTGGCATGTCATGATACTTCATGTATGTTTATGCTTTGACTAAAACTAGTGTTACTTTTCTCTTGATATGTTTATGCAGTTGTCGTGTATTTACACAATGTTCAAGACTTATGTATGAATGTGCGCGCGTGTGTTAATTGTACCCTTTTATGGAAGTTTCCATTTCTGTTGTACAGGGCGATATGTGGCGCCTGAGGTTTATAAAGATGAAGAATACGATACGAAAGTGGATGTATTTTCATTTGCCTTGATCTTGCAAGAGGTGAAATCTCTCTAAATAATCATTCTATTATATGTGCCAGTTTTCCACTTGTGGTCTGGTTCATCTTAATTCTTCTTGATCCTCCTATAAAGAATCTTTGCTCTTATGCTGTGTTTAATATTCATGAGACTTTAGCCTTTTGGATTTATAATTCATTGATAATATTGATGCCTGAAAATTTCATGGGATCATTGTAGATGATAGAAGGCAATCCACCTTTTCCAACAAAGCCAGAAAACGAAGTACCTAAAGCTTATATAGCTGGTGAACGCCCACCATTTATGGCTCCAACTAAGCGTTATGCAGATGGAGTGAAGGAGTACAGTTTTTTCCCCCTCTCGTTTACACAATATTTTCCTGCATATTAAATATATTGGCATGTACTATTTTGGAAATTTTTCGTTTCAAGTTGGCTCATAATAAAGTACGCTAAACTTGTTAATGATTGTCGAGTCAGTTTGTGTACAGGCTAATCGAGGAATGTTGGGAAGAGAAGCCACATAAAAGACCCACGTTTCGGCAAATTATAAGAAGGTTGGAGGATATCAACAATGAACTTATGCACACAAGGAGCTTGAAGGTGCACCACAAACCCTCTTTCACCCCTTGCTGGCTAGTCAGTGATGTTAACAATCAATCATCGTATCTGAAACTTGCCCATTTTGGTCGTTTACAGGTGAATCATTTCTGCAATTGTTTCGGGAACCTGACAGCCTTGTTTAAAAGGGAAAGGACTAATCCAGGCAGCAGATCTTTCTCAAAAAGCAAATGAGTTAGTATTCATTTATATCTCCCTGCCTTTTCCTTCTCTCTCTCGTCCACACATGTTATGTATATATAGATATATGCCTTTGGAAATTATGCTCAAACATTTGTGTATTCTTCTGTTGTTCTTGGATGGATGAGAGAATTGTTAGCCCTGCCTTTAACTCCATAAGTCTGCTTCCTCATTTCAATCGTACCATCCTTGTCAGTTGAATATTGTCGGTCGAACCTTTCTTGTTCACTTAAGAGGTCAAAGAATCGAATCTATATGTTAGATCGATAAGAACCAAATCATGAAGTCTGCACATGTCATGTGCTGCATTTAAACAAATGTTGTCTTTTCATTTAACTTAAAAAGATTTTTGATAATTTCCTTTCTGAGCTTTTCTAGTTACTGGCCTGTCTAGAACTTTAATTTGAAGAATAATACCAGCAGGCCAAGAGGCATTGTCCCTACGCGAAGTTCAGGGGCCCCTAGTTTCACATGAAGCTTAGCAATTATGGGGGAAAGTGATCTTATTGTTGCTGCTATCAGTTGGGAGACCATCAAAATGGGCGTATTTCAGTATTGATATAGCAACGTCACAATGAATGTTGATGATGATGACAAGTTCCTATTATATCTTTGGACACAATTTTAGACTTATTACTTGTTAATTCTTATTAGAACTTGGTTAATTAGTACTTGTTTCTATTGTTTAAAGGGGCTTTAGTATTTGGTAATTAGGGGTTCACAGATCACTAAGGCTTTCACTTCTGTTGGTACTACAATCTTATTTTTAGGGTGTGAAGTTATTTTTTTGAAGTCAAAAAACCAAAAATGAAAAAAAAAAAAAAAAAACTGAATTTTACTCTTATATTCTCTCGCCATCCAACATCAATTGGTTTATACAAACTCTAACGTATAATGTTAATCCTTCCATTGATTTAAAATATAATATTGTAATCTGGCCTAACTCAATTGGAATCAAACATTTTGTGATTTTATATCGGTTGGAGAGGAAACAAGCAGTCATTTGTTCCTTGTAAGGATGTGAAAATTATGACATTCACGTTGCGACAAGAGAAGTGGGCATGGAAGATGAGGGGCAAAGATAGGCTTCTTGAAGGGCTGGGTAGGGTGTCGGGCCTTAACCCGTCGCGTTTTAAAATTATGAGGCTTACAACAATATGTAACGGACTAAAATAGACAATATTTGCTATGAGCTTGAACTGTTACAAATGGTATGGGAGGTATGCCAGCGATGAAATAAGGGGTGTGGAAACCTCTTCCTAGTATATAGTGTTTTTTGAATTTGTGAGGCCGCCGATAATATGTAATAAAAAATACCTGTGATAATACCTAATTGCAAGAAAACGACAATTTTGCAAACACATTTGTGCAAAGATAAAAATAAAAACATTTTAAGGAGGGTTAGTTATACGAAAAGAAATGGAATTTCCTCGCTGATAGTTCTGATTCCTTTTCTAACGTGCTCCGCTTTTGTGGAGGCTCAAGGAATATTCTTTTCCATTGCTCTCCTTTCATCGTCTCCCAGGTTCTTCTTTCTTGTAAGCATTCTTTGTCTGCTGAATTTGTTTATGTTCTTCCTCTCCCGCTTTCTTCTAGGTTCTGTCCTTACTAAATCTGTTTTCTCAATCGTTGTTTGTGTTCGATAAATTATTTCGAGATCTGTTTTGGTTGTTTCTAGTTTCCGATGGATTAAACAATTGGAAGAATTATCGTGAAACGTAATTAAAGTAATCTCGTTTAAGTTATGATCATCTGTTATGTTTAAACAATGAGATTTAAGCTAATGAGTGAGCTGCGCTATATTTTAAGTTCGTGAGATTTAAGCTAGTTACAGATACCCGTAAGAGGACGGGATTGAAGGAGCAAATGATCCCATTTTCTGAATTCGAGGACAAGCTGCAAGTCTCTTTCAAAGTTAATTGTTTAGAAGCGCTTATAGATTTGGTTCTGATTCAGTTGTCTGCTCTGGCTTATGGAATTGCAGCATGCATGTTATGATGTTTGTTCTGTGTATCATTTTTTTTCCTTAGTATGATTTGGAAAGAGTGCCCAAACTTCTTGTTCTTGATCTGTTTTTCTTGTTTTCTTCATATCATGTCTGCTTCCTTATTTAGATCAAATTTGCAGGAAAAAGGGTATAGGATTGTCTCAATCGATTGCCAGGAATTTAGAAGAACATTATTGTTTGGTAGAAACTCTTTTCTTCACAGCTATTATCCACAGGAAAAAAAAAAAAATTAAATAATAGAAACACCCTTCAAACATTTTCCATCTTGTGCAGAATACATAAAATACAAGTATGCAACATGAAATCGTACTACTAGCAGAACCCAAGTATTGCTCCAGCCTTATAAATTAAAGTGTCCACAATTCTTTGACTTCATCATCTTAGGATTCTCCTCAGTGTCTCCTTGCTTCTCTTTCAGCCTACAAAATCAAGTATTTACAGAATTAGCATCATAGATATCCGTATGTATGGTAGCTAGATTTGGATGGATAGAACCAGCTTACGGCTTTGACTACTCGTTCGAAAGCATCAGGTCCATATCTATCAATGTAACGCTCCACTGATTTCCTAGAATCCAAAGTCATCATCTGGAGAACTTTCTTTTGATTCTCTGGATAGTTTGGGTTCACGTAAGTTCCAATCTTAATGTACTTCCTCACTACATTCTCGTAGATGTAAGCTGCCCCATTGAAAATTGGTAGAACCAACCATAAACAAGCCAGGAGCTTAAGGTATCCCCAAAGTGGAATCCTGCGTGCCATTCCATAGACTTTAAAATGCAAACTTGAAGAAAAAGAAGAGCCTCAAAGAACAGTTTTGTTTGTGAGTAGAAGAACTATACCAAGCCAGGACTTTCCAAAATGTTAGTTCAAAGAGGGTTATGAAGGAGTATATAATCCAATAAGTCAGCCATTGCTGGTCATCAAGACTTGAAGGGCTCTCAATTGCCCTTATTGATGCATATCTGTTCATTCATTTCTGCATGAATCATGCCTTGGAACTAGGAAAGAGAAGAGAAAGAGAGAGGTATGTAAGATGTAATGAAAATGAGTTATGTGCACTTACAAAGGAAAAAGAAGCATTACTCCGGGCCTGGATCAAGGAAAAGTTGAAACTGGTTAAGCAAGGAAATCATAACCCACTAAGGCACAATTGAGATAATAAGCTTAAACAACCAAATATTTGGGATTTCCCCCCAAAAGATTAGTACCCAATTATAGAATCCAAATGTTTAGCAATAGCACCAAGAACACCCATGTCTGACAAACTAATTCTTCCTTGTTTTCAGCTGCCAATCAAACTTTGGATTATGCTAGTTCTTTTAAGATGATGAAATGAATGAAGGAGTAGTTTGGGTATATAAGCTAGTCCAATATATCTGAAGTTGAATAATTAAGCAAGGTAAAGAATGTCTGTTCCAAATGATCTTCTTTACCCACACAACAAGCAAAAGCCAAAAACTTGGAAGGAAATTAGTCGATATATAAGGGACTGTTCCCTGCATTCCTTTCCATGCTTTTTAACCTTTCCAACTTGCATATATCCATAGAAAGGTTTGTAGATATATACCTTCCTTTCACCTTTATCACTTCTTGAGGTTTCAATCTTATTCTTACCTTTTTGATATTCATATAGAATCATGATTATTCAATGTTAGAATATAATAAATACGTCGAACTTTGTACCTCGTTATAGTAATACCTCAAAATTTTAAAAGATTGCATTAATACCCTCATATTTTCACAAAATTTCGTAAGTATTTTTATTGTTAGTAGGGGATGGAAACCCCACATGGTTAGCGTTTCTTCTTCTTCCTTACTCTACAAACTCATCTTGCTTAGCGACTTATGCAACCACCCCTTCAATGTAGTTAAAACAAAAAAATGAGCTTCTTCCTTGGTTAGCATTGTTGAAATCCCTATGAAAGAATATGAAAGAATAGAGGTGTTGGTGAAATAGACTCGTTGAAGCTAACACATTGATTCTAGATACTAAAAAAGAGTTTGGATCAACATAAATTCATTAATAGAACCAACCATAAAGAGAAACTTGAAATAATCTTCGTTTTGGTCATCTTTATTCTTAAGGTTTTCAATATTGATTCTTAATATGTTATTCTATAATTAATGATATTATAGCAGTAGCATTATTAGTTCTCATTGTTATTTTACTTGATATGCTCTTAATTACTTTTAATTTTGAGTGAAAATAATTGCAAAGTATTTTATTTTTAAAAAAATAAAACGTAGAATTTAATTCATTTTGCCAATAAAAATCATCAATATATTTGTATTTTCGGAATTTACATTTATTTTTGTTAAATTACTGAGGTGAATGCTTCTCTAATTAGATAGTGATTGAAAAAGGAATGAGCTTCCATAATTAATCCAAAGATTCGATCTTGAGAGAAAGTAGAATACGACATGTCGGTCTTCTCAAGTCATCCACTTGACGTCGTTTTCTTTGGAACGCGGTCGACATCGGACTTCATTTATAAGCCGGAAAGTCAAGGTGTTCAACCAATGAACCGACATGTTATTCTGCTTTTGGGTTTTTCTTTAATAGTAATAAACAACTACATTAGTGTGTTTTTATTGAATTATTTGTCAGATAATAACTCTATTTTTCAATTTTGAGGTCTTATTTGTAATTCTAAATTAAATTATTAAGTTAGAAATAGAAATAACACATTAAAATTGGAAAAATAAACAAAGCGATTCATATGATCGAGAGTTTCCTTCCCGAGGTTCTCTTTTGTTGATCGAAATGCAACTCATGCAGAAACTAAGTTTTCTTCGGCTATACATGTCGCCCGTGCATGCATATTCATTTGATTGGGACTCCACCCAACTTACATCTACTCTAGGTAGCTAGAGGTTCTATGTCTATGTGTGTCCATAGCAAACGTTAAAATGGACAATATAACTTGCTTGATCCATCGATATATGGTGCATAAACTAAGTCTTAATTTTGCTCCACCCTCCCCATCTCTCTGTACTAACAGAAAACCATTAACGGTGTGTCCTTTTCACTTTGCCATATCCAAAATGCTCTCAAAATCAGACTGGGTACTACGGACAAAAGAATATGCCCAAATGTGCTCTAAAGACTACAGCAAACCAACAAAACATAAAAAGAAACAACATTTGCAAGGTTGTTTCGCAATAAACCAGCTCATTCTTCCACTGAGAGTCATTGGGTGCCTGCCTTTCACATCATCACAACATGAACAATACAACATAGTTGTGTTTAAGAGGAAAATGAGGAAAAGGATTATGCCAATAATTTAGCACATAAATTAACGTTAATACAACCGTAACTAGCATCTAGAATAAGGTATTTTGATTAAGATATGAAATTAATATACAATATTATAGATAGTTACATCAAGGATCACAACTCTGCTTCTATTGAATAATATTGCATTGGCTATCTTCATCTATTACCTAGTAATAGTGTATGGACATTATAATATATAACCAATATCATATTTTTGTAGAGATTAGTCCGAGTAGAGACTGAAGGCAAAACCTTCTTCCCTCTTATCTCGGACTATATATATATATATTGGTATCTAATCCAAAAATAAATATACTTTAGCTAGAGTGACAGACAACTTCGTTCTCCTCACTCCATTATTCTGCATCTCTTAATAAACTTGTTTGAGAAATTTACATGTTTATTCCATAAGTTCCGTACCTCTGGAGACCCAATCTCAAGCCACGGCTTCGCAGGGCCGCTGAAGTGTATGACAGCAGCATCTTCCAGGACCTCTTTGCTTAAAAGTTGTGGGGGTCTTTCACCTAATCCAGCCACATGCCATGATGGATCTATGGGCTGCATATGACCCTCAAAAGCCATCATGGATGGAGGAAGTTCCCCTGGACGCCACAGTGCCAATCCAGAATTGAGATTCTGTAAAATAGTGGCAATGGACGTCAATGGAAGTTTTATGCACATTTATAGCTTTGGTGGAATAAGAAAGGAACTAACATGTTTCAACCATTGATGATATGTGGAGGTAATGTTGCTCCTTCTCCAAGCTTCAAGATCGAAAACATTCATGCCGTAGAGCCACGCACATCGATCTGGATCAAAGTTGGACGATATCAAAGGATGGGAGAAGTTCAGGTAGTGGCTGTATTTCCTTCCTGGACAACAACCATCTCCACACCAAGAATCAACGACAGCACCAACAACATTCCCACCAAGGTCCAACTCCCACAAAGAGGACATATCATGTTGCACCACAATGTCATCGTCCAGGAAAACGATCTTATTCAGATCTGGAAACAGCTGAATGAGACACATTTATAGTTTTAAATCATCATTATTAGAATTTCAGTTCAAGAGAAATAAATGATAACAAGAAGGATTACCTCAGGAACATAAATACGAAGGTGATTCAAGAGGGAGAGGCTGCTTGAGCTTAGAACATCTAATTCTCTGTTTTCTTTTCCATCTTTGAAATCGTTATAGTGACGCTTCCATATCAAGCGATGAATCTCCAACATATCTTTAACCCTGTTGTTGACTTCCTCAGACCAATCGAATTGGTGAAGTCCCTTAACTTCCACAACAACCGAATCAATTGAATTGATTGCAAACCACGCGTGCATTGGGGTGTATGTTTTCTTGTCGGTGATAATGTGAAACACCAACTTCTGAGGGGCGGCTGAGTGTCGAATGGCAGAGGAGATGACAACAGAGGCGGCGAGGACATTGTCAGTCAAGAGAACAAGATGATGGAAGAAGGGGTCAGTAAGGCGGGAAATATTTTCAGGCTGTGGCAAACGAGCTCGAGCTTTGGCATTTACAGCATACTCTTCAGCAAGTTTGAGACAAAGACAATGCAGGCCCTTTGGAACACCATGTGATGCTAAATACCAATACACAGATTCACGCTTTCTCGCAGATTTGACCTTTTGTTCCATAGCGTGTAGCTGCACCAAAGATATAAACTTGTTTTAATGAATCTACTGACAATTCTACTCAAGTTACTTTCTCTGATAGATTTGACCTTTTATTCACACAGCCTGTGAGCTAATAAACTTATTCTATCAAGGCTACTTACTAAAGTTACTTGAGTAGATTTGATCTTTTGTTCTATAGGGTGAAGCTGCGTGCAGATATTGTGAGCTAATAAACTTGTTTTACTAAGTCGACCAACAATTCTCTCCAAGTTGTTATATAAGTTATAAATTGTTCTACTAGCAGTATCCAAAAGCTCTTTTCCCTCAAGTTTTTTCTTCGTTCTTTTACTTGTTTTGACATATGGGTCAAATCCAACGGACATCAAAAAGATACATTACCATTGCTTTAGTCTTTAATGCGAAGGCCCTCATGTCCTGTGGCTTTGAAATCATCTCCTTCACAAGCTCGTTGAAGGATTCCACTCCATCTTCTCTCCCCACAGATCCACCTTCTTTTGAATCCACAAGTGCTCTGGAAAATTCCTCGCTCAGTCTCTGTCAGTTATCCATCAGTCACAATAGAAACAAGACAAAAAAAGAAAAATATACTATCAGTTTTGTATTCAATTCAATTGAATTTACCTTATAACCTTTATTTCTATTTCAAAATATTTGGAGATAATTAGAGAGAAAATTTTAAATAGAACGTTTTTCAAATTTGGCTTAAATGGGTATCCATATTTCACAACATTTATTGAGCATCATAATTAGAACGACGTGGAATCAAAGATGGTCAAATAGAGAGGTTGAGGAAATATCTTTCTTTTTGTTTATTGAATATGTATATATATATAATAATTTCAAGTGGACCAAAATAAAAATGATTGCTAAGCAAGTAGCCACATGTCCCAAAAGCTGCCTGTGGAAGAAGAATTAATTTCCATTGCTTTATGACCAAAATGCCATCCTAGCTTTCTCAATTTATCAACAAAACCCATCTCAATAATATGTATATATGTTAGAAATTTGGGTAATTTAAGAGAGAAAAACAAAAGGAGAAAATATTAGAGTATACAAAAATTTCAATTAAGAAAATGATGGGTTTGGTTTTACGAGGGTAAGTCGGTCACTATCAACCCAATCGTCTTATTTTCTATTTCCTTAAATCACAATTTTTTGTACTATTGGTACCAAACATATCATAACATACAAGGACTATATAAAATTCCAACCCAAGTTAACATATTATATTTATTTTCAACATATACACAAACAAAAAATATATAGGCGTACCTTCTACAATTTATCACAAAAAAGTTTAATTTAAACTTTGAAAATATTATTAAAAGTTTAAATCACGGATAAATTAAACTCAAATTTTTAATATTTTAAAAATCCAGGTACGTAGAAGAAGCATCCAACTTCATGGTACCATAGATGCGAGTTTAAAGTTAAAAGAAAATAAGTATAGAGTAGTCGGAGAAACGTAAATTTTTCTATAGAAGACTTTTTTTTTTTCCTTTGGAAAATATAATTTCCATTTAAATAAATAAATAAAACATTCATGACAGTGAGATGATCAAAATTAGTATAATCCGTTTAATGTCATAATTAAACGTTTCCATTAATTTTCACAGTCAATCACCACAAGAACGAAACGTAAAATTAAGCAATGAAAGATTTCTAATCAAGTAAAAGCCAAAGAAAATGAAGAAAAAAGTGTAGTTGAAAATTGGAAAAAGGCGGATTCAGAGTTTAGGGTATATTCGAAATTAAAGTGAAAAAAATGCTAACCGAATGAGATGCGTCATCGCGACTGAAAAACCTCCATCCAGAACACTCTGCAAAATTCATGAATAACAACAAGATAAAGTGATTACAGAGATCGTTCCAACCGATCGAAACAGAGGTTAAAACCGATTGAGCGCAGCAATCATTAAGTATTGCAACTCCTCGAGAAGAAAATGTATCGGCAATTGAATGTACTTACCAGGAGAGGAAGAACAATCGGCGGCGGATTCGAGGACCAGAAAGGCGATCCGAACGAAGAGGAAGGGGAGAACAATTGCGAGAGTGAGAAGGAGCGGCAAAATGGAACGAGTGGAGATTCTGCGACGAGGCGCCGTGGACGACGGCGCGGGAGGCTTGACGGCGGTGGAGTTGGAGTTAGAGTTGGAAATAGTGAGCCGCTTAATGCCGGTGGTGGAGATGTAGAACTTCATAGCGATGGCGATGGAGAGAAGAGGCGATATTCAATGGATTCCATTCAAGGAAGAAGAAGAGGAGGAAGAAGAAGAAGAAGAAGAGGAAGAGGAAGAAGAAGAAGAAGAAGAAGATGATGAAGAAGAAGAACTGAGAAAGGGAATTGGGGAAGATCCAATACTGAGAGAGTCACGGGTTTGAGACTCTACGAAAACGAAGAGCTATGGCGAAGTGGTCTTTTACGTCTTTTTATTTTATTTATATATTTTTAAAATACTGATTTTTGTAATGGTGCTTTTGGGAATTATATGAGTAATAATTCATAAAGGTATTTGGGGGAAAATGGTGCGACGAAGAAAAAAAGGGAACATCCAAAGATAATGCCGCGTTAGAAGCCGCGGGAATGAGATCAAGTTTAAGATATTGGCCTTTGTTTCAAACTTAATTACGGATTTGCCATTGGGTCTCCATTTGTCACCGACACATTGTGTTCCGCCTGCCTCAGCCCATTACGCCCGCCTTTAACGGCGGAGCCGATGCAAGGTCCCCCTCGTCCACTTTAATTCTAAACTCCTAAATAGAATTATAATTTTAAAATTTACGTGGTCACTTGTCACAGGTAGTCTCTTGATAAATAAGCATAATATACCAATTGAATTGGTAAGGGGTCTTAAAGCGGGGTAGTTAGTGGTTAGAGAGACCAAAGCTGGAGATGATGCGTTTATTTTCGTGAGTTTAGACTAAATTAAATAATTAAAGTTAGAATAAGTAGGGTGGAAAACATTATTATCAAAAAAATATTAGCAATATTGACAGGTTGGATACAAAATAAGCCCTCAAAAAATAATAATAATGACGAATATGTTTAATATCCATAATTTGTTTGGTGCAATCATTTTATTCACATTTTAATTTAAATAGAGATATTTTAATATTTTCAATATGGATATATTAAAAAATAGAGCCACAACTATATCCTAATATTATCTTAAGTACAATTAATAATACATTTAAATCCTTGGAATTTATATGGATCTAAAATAATAAGCCCAATGATGAGATTAAATAAATAAAGAATAATGTATGTAATTTTCTATTATAATATTTATGTTGTGCTAATTAAATATACATCTATGATTATACTCTTTATTGTGAAAATTATAGTCAAAATTAATGAAATTTCTTACAAAGACTGATAAACTAATTAACAATTCGTTAGATTTGTAAATTACAAAGTTAGATAATAAAAATTGATATTTAATTTTAATGACAAATTTTTGTTAGTTGTGTTTTTATTACACCAATATAGGAACCACTAACTTTCATAAATACCCAATTAAGACAGGCCACGTGAATATTAATGAGATTTGGGGATTACGTGGCAACTGATGACGTGGTAACAACATGACACAGAAACCCCCAATCGCCTGTCGGCCAAAATATTGCCTTGTCAAGCCGAAGCAGGATAGTCAACGTCATGTTCGGATCCTTGTACACGTGGCGACGATCTAATCATCAACTGCTGTTACGTAAGCAGACAGTCATCTCCAACTCAACGTTTTTTTTAATGTCGGATTGGGTAGGGGACTTGCTTTTATTTAAAAAAAAAAAAAAAAAAACAGTAGTTCGTTAAGCCCAAATAGTAGTCCAGTTAATTTGAGCCCAAAAAGTAATTCTTACTTAACTTGAGCCCAAAAAGTAGCCCGTTAACTCGAGGGGGAATAGTAGGCTCGTAGCCCATTTGAGCCCAAATTGTAGCCCAGTTAATTTGAGCCCAAAAGGTATCCTTACTTAACTTGAGCCCAAAAGGATTTTATTTATTTATATTTTTTTTCCTGTAATTGAATTTAAATTGAGAGATGGTAGAAGAAGAATTCGTTTTCTATTTTGGCGGTTTGGGGAGGAAAGCTTTTTGGAGGGCTTATACTCGCAGGCGAATCCGCAACATCGATTCATCGCTTGGAACTGTGAACCCTTTCGCCCTTTTCACATTTTGAAGGTAAAACTCTCGCTGTTGAATTAATTTATAGTATTATTCGATCTAACTCAAGAAATTATGTGTTCGTCTTTTGGGAAAGAAGGGGATATAAACAAGAGAAGAGAAGGGAGGATTGCTCTTCTTCATATTTTGATCTGATTTTCTTGATTAACGTCGAACAATTCATGTTCTTACGATCTTTTCGTGCAATCCCAGGTTTCAGATGTTTCTAAATCACAAAGAATCAGCTCCTCAAATTTCTTTGGATCAATTGTTTTCAGTTTTGGCAATGTTTCTAAATATGTTAATTTTACTTGTCTCTATGAAAGAAATTGAGCAATCCTTCTAGATATTGTGTCCCCTTTTGCTTTCGTCAAGAAAAGATGTGCTAGAATGAAGGTGGTTATCCTAAGAGCTCTAGGTCTGGCTTGCTTGTATGGAAATGAAATTACATTTCATCATCCTTCTCGAGTCTCTGAATTCTCCTGTTCAGTAAGATAGCATTGTCCTAAATTTAAAGATTTCAACTAGTTAAATGAGTTACCAAAAAACTTAAAAGGATTGCTTTAGTAAGATATTGGGAAAGAGTGAGGCTTCGAGGTAGACTAGTTCAGTTTGATTGACTGGTTGAATAGGATGTACTAGAGGTTCTAAGATGATGGATAGTTTTGTCGCGTCAATTGTAGCATTGAAATTATTCATGATTGATCTTAGTAAGAAGCAATGTTTTCCTCTCTTCAGGTATGGTGAAGCATGGAAACAAATCAAAAGCCTGGTACAAACAGCAGACAATCTCAGTTCTCATTGTGTCTGCTTTTCTTATCCTATTTGTGTGGATGATTTTATTTCGCAAGGAGTCTCAACAGCATGATCTTTTAACTGAGGCAACTCCAAAGCAAAAGTGGGATAGCTTCAATTCTCTTGTGCAATTTAATCCAAATATACAGTTTCGGAATGGAACTGACATAATATCGCAGATTCCCAATTCACCGAAGGCAGTTTTGTTCATTGCTCATGGCTGCAATGGAAAAGCCATTAACTTCTGGGACAAATCTCCCAAATGCCCTTCTTGTGTCGGTCTGCCTGAGGAACGGTTGATTGTCCTTCATGCGCTCAGCAGACATTTTGCAGTTCTTACAATATCAAGCTCTCAAAAATGTTGGACACTGGGGAAGGAATTAGCGATCGTGAAAGACATAATATTTTGGTGGGTTAAAAAGAACAAACTCAAGAAACTTCCTCTTGTAGGTTTAGGTGCCTCCTCTGGTGGATATTTTCTTTCAGTGCTGGCCACTAAGTTGAAGTTTAATAGTATTACTTTGATGATTGCTGAAGGGTTGTATGAACAAATGGAGGTAACAGAAAGATACCCACCTACTCTGTTTGTACACATGCCGAAAGATCAATTTAGGCAACAAAAGATCAATGAAAATATGGAGTTTTTGAAAAGTAAAGGAGCTGATGTTGCAGAAATTGAATGCTTGGAGTTTAGTTTGTCGCCACATTTTTTGGCTGACCGAATCCCAGGACTCAACCAGAGTGTTTCTGGTAAGTTGTTTGAGCTTTTCCAAGCCAAGGGCTTCATAGATGGAAATGGAAAGATGCTCAAAGATGGGCGGGAAACACGGTGGAAAGAAGCCCTCAAGAGGAGTGAGATTAATTTAACCGATAATAGTCTAACCCATCACATTCAAGAAGAGTTGAATCTTGCCTTTGCATACCATGAAATGACTAGCTTGGAGTCTGACAAGATTTTCACATGGTTTGAATCTCACATGCGATGATTCTATCAACATTGAAACAAAATCCAGGTTCTTAGAATCCACACCCTCCCAAACACACGCACGAGAAGAAAATGTATGTAGAATGGTTTTTTCTGTTAACAATTTTTGTAATGCTGGCGTTGATGGTTCTGTATTTATGTTTACATTGCTCAGTTAAGAAAGTTGAAGCAAGAACATGAATAAATGTTATTTTCAACTCCCATTTTGTGGTTCTGGCTGTTGCTTGTGATCTACAATTAATTTCAAATCCCCATTGCTGTGAGAAGATTATCAGGCTATATTTATGGAGAACTTTACTTTTTGTTAAAGATATATGGATTTATTTTCCTATTACTATTATTGCTGCTGTGTTGCTAGGTAAAATATCAAGGGCGGTTGGTTTGATGGGAGTTCTTAAATTCGCCAACCCACCTTCTCAGAGAGCTGGAGGCTTCCTAATGACTGCAGTCTCCTCCCGGCTCTCGTTCATATGAGTTTGTTTTCTGCACTTATTCTATGTTTATTTGCACCGTTGATATTTGTGATTTAGCATTTATACTGTTCACAAGATCAAGCTCCAGTCATTAACTCAAACCAAAAGGAAACCCAAGTTTGTTTATTTATAGGTTAACCTTATTCAATGTAGTAGATCTTTCCTCATTAATGCGCCATCTGCGTACTTTGTGGATTTTGCTAACTTCTTAAAGCTTAATGATGATAAGGAAATAATGGATTAATGTAGATAACAAACACTCGAACTTTTAATTCTCGACCCTTTTAATAACATCTGATTAATCATAATGAACTAGTTGGAACAAATCTTGATTTCTCAATGAATTTGGAAACTAAAGACTGAGCATCTCTATGTTCAAATCACATGAACATAAGAGATAGGAACAACAAACAAGAACAAAAGAAAACATGAAATGATAAATTGGTCTCACTGTCTCACTAGTCACAAACTAACTTCTAAGGCACACACACATTAATTATTAAGGTGGTAACTCGTAAGGCAAAGGGCGGGTTCAGGCTGTAAGCTTAATTTTCCCCTCGTTGGCTAATTTGAAGATGTTGGCCTGATCTGCTGCTGCTCTGTTGGAGTTAAGTGCCGAGACAAAACTCGACTGAACTTGCTTGGTTGTGAAGGGGAATCTGTTACTTGCAAGAGAGTTGAGGTATGAAGCAGTGCCTTCTCTTAAAAGAGCCCCAAACCCATCAGCCCTTGTGTTTGAAAGTGCTTGGAGTAAGTTGAGATTTGTTCCAAATCCTGGGACATTGGTTGCTCCAAAGCAGTTTCCTAACGTTCCCCACCATCCCAGTACTCCCCATATCATTCCTGGGTGATTCAGCCAAAAACTGCAAAACAAACACACATTTTTCAAACCTAAAGAGGAATGCTTTCTTTTTCATAGAAATAGTTACTGTGACTTACTTGCAGGTAAATGGAGTAGTGGGAGTGCCAGGAGTGCTTGGTGTGCTTGGAGTGCTTGGAGTGCTTGGAGTGCTTGGAGTGCTTGGAGTGCTTGGTGTGCTTGGAGTGCTTGGAGTTCCTGGATCTACAGGGGTGGTTGGTGTGCTACCACCAGATGATGGAGGGTTGTAGTATCCACTTCTACCTGAAGGAGACTTGGATGGTGTCGAGGGAGTTGGCGTGGAATAATGGGGCGGTGTGCCTCCATAGCCATGTGAAGGTGGTATAGGGTTGCTGTGTGAACCTGCAATGCAAAATGCAGAATGCTGTAAGTCTACTAATTACTACTATGTGCTGAAACTTAAGTGTTGTTGTTTGTGAATGTGTGACCTGTTGGGGGAGTTCCAGCATGTGGGTCTGGAGGAGAGTAGTAGCTCTTCTGGTCAGCAATGGTGGTGGAGAGTACAGGGATGAGCAGGCTTTGAGAAAGCAGCCCAGCAAGTAGAGTGAAAAGGAGAGGAGAAGCTTGTTTGGTTCTCATGGCTTCTTTTGTCGTATTTCTGCTCGGAGCAAAGGGTTATGGAGATGGAAAAGAAGGAAGGGTAATGGTGGATGGAATGTTTGGAACAAAGGGGAATATATAGAAAGGGTTGAAGGGAAGTGAAGTTAGTTCTTACAGGTGGAAGAGTGTGTGGTTAGTTGCTGTTTTATTGGTGCATTTATTCATATTGCTTGCTGCTTTTAATTGTGTTTCAAATAATGCTCAGATTTTCCAGGGAGGGTTCATTAGGGGTGAGGTGAAATCACATGCTTTTGCATTTGAAATTTTGAATCTCTCTTCTCCGCAGAGATTTATCTGAAATAGTCTCTCTACAATATAGCTCTTACGATTACATAATTCAAAAATGTCCTTTTTTTTCACTCTCTTTCTCTCACATGGCGATTTAATAGCGACAGCTATGTGTATAGTGTCATCAAATAATTTAGGAGACTTTGTTCCAAATAACAAATCTCTATATGAACAAAACGAAGATCTTAATTATGAAGATCACCAACATTACAAGAGAAAATGAGGAGTAAGCTTGACCTATGAATTAGAACGTGTAGAATCAAAGGAGAACAGACTATTGTTGTAGGAGAAAGCAAGAATGCGTAGAATCGAATCAACCAAGCAATAAAGAAGCAGTGTCCTTTCCTTCTCTTTTTCAGTAATTCAGTAATTATTGTTAAGAACAATAAATTGAGCACTACAAAGTCCTTAACCTTCGCAAGTGAAGCACAGGACCAGTCAGCCAAGCGGGCAACCAAACCACTGTGGCTACAAGCGGCTTAAAAGAGAGAGCAGGGAAGTAGTTGAGGCAGTAGGAGGAAGAGTGAAGCAACACACACACACACACACACACACACACACGAGTGAGCTGTCAAGAACTTGATCCTTATAATAACCAAGATATAATGAATGGTGTTAGCTACTGCAAAATAATGGCAGCAAACGCATTTATATTATTTCCAGATCTAAACATAACATAACAGCTTGCAAATGCCGCCGTACACTGCACTTCAACCTCTGCCAATGTTTTGAGGAAGAGTTAGCTCCCAATTTCACTCATGAATTTATGAGCGCTGATGATCTGTCTCCATCAACCGTGGAGCCACACCAATTCTTCTATGCTTACAGATCAGTTGAGAGAATGGAAAATCAGAATGGGACAGTTATAATTTGCCAAACTTTGGTACAACCATGCAAGATTGCCTTAAAAACAACTCAAAATCAAGTGTAGCTGAAGATTTGTCTGGATAATCCATCAATAACAGTGGGGTTAAACTTCAGTGCAGTGATTCCTCAAACTATATCAGCTAGATTAGTTAACCAACAAGACTTAGCTTAGCTTCACATAAAACTTTGAAGCAAAATTTAGCGCCAACCAGTATTTATTGGATAGGAAAACACCAAATAAACAAACATATGGAACAAAACTTGAGCAGATTTGTAGTTCATGAACCCTACCCACCCTTTTGGCTATGTTCTTCTGAGTCAAGTCTCCATATCCCAATTTATCTCTGTCTACCATACAAAACAAAGGCCAGTGCAACTGTTGCAGCAACAACTCCAGTGGAACCTGCAATTATAGGCCAGTTTAAGTTCAACTCCTTCCCTGCGCCTTCCCCCAAAGCTGACTTGAGTTCCTCTGCAGTACCATTCAAAGCATTCGCTGCTTTCTCCTTCATTCCACTGATCACCTTGTGTGCTTCCTCTACTTCCCTCTGCAACTCAACCATTTTCAACTCCAACATTTTCGATTTCTCCTCCGAGTCCTTCAACGACTCGTCCACCTTAAATTTCTCCTTCATCCACTTATCTAACTCCAGCCCCTTCTTCTTTAGCACCGATTCCAGATCCTCGACGATCTTCTTAAAACCCGTGATTTCCCTCTCCTTCTCCTCAATTTTGTCTCTCATTTCCTCCTCCACCCTAACTTTTTTACTCTTCTCCTCTATCTCCTTCACCTCCAAAACCCCAACTTTCCTCTCCAATTCTCTGATTTTCTTTTCGCTCTCCAACTTAGACTTCTTCAGGGCTTCCAACTCTTCCTCAAGAGCTGCAACCTTCTCTCCTTTTTCCCCCAAATTTTTCCTCAACTCCGCAACTTCAGCAGTTGCCTCATCGGCTCCATTCATTGTAGATATCAAATCATGCTGTAGCCTCGCGACCTCAGTCTCAAGCTCCAACGCTCTCGCCGCCACCGACTCTAACACCTTATTACCCTCTTCAGCACGTTCAACTTGACTCTCCATTTCTTTCAAGCGTTCTTTCAGCGACCCCTCTTCACTCTTTAACCCCTCAGTCTCTGCTGAAAGTTTCTTAATCTTATTTTTTATATCTTCATTTTCCTCAACCAACTCCTTCTTCTCACGCTCCAAAACCTCAATTCTCTGATTCAGTTCCGCAACCTTTGCATGATTCTCCCGCTGGTCAACATCATAAAAATCCTCCCCCGACCCGCCATTCGTAATATTAATCTCGGTCTCCATTAATATTCCTATGTTGAAAGAAAAAACGGCCGAAATGAAAACATAACCAGTCACTAGAACACGTTTTCTAAGAAAGAAAAAATCCTAAGAAAAACGCATACAGAGGCCCCATCTAGATCCAGACAAATCAAAAATAATAAAAAAGAACTAAAAACTTCAAGTAAGAAGAAAAATACAGCATACTTACACACCAGGCGAAAAGGATTCAAATCAACGAAGAGAGAACAGAGAAGGAGAAAGTAGAACAAGTGAACAACTACCGATTAAAGAGGAAAACAGAGAGAGAGATTTCTGTGCAAGAAAGGGGGAAAATCATACAAGAAAACCCTTCCAATAAAAAAATTGTTTGACAGAAGAACAACAAAAACAAAGGATTCACCTTTTGATTTCTCAGGTTCAGCAGCCTACAGAACTCGAATTAGGGTTGCGAAGTTTTGCAGCGACAAGAAATGTCTGATGAAGCTTTTTGGTTTCCCAATTCTCCTGGAAAGGAAAAACAGAATGCGGAAAGGAAATGAGCAAATCTGATCTCGGAAAATGGACGGCTGAGAATGGTCGAAAGAAAAGGCCAGTGCTCATGGGCATGGACCCGAAATGCTTTTGATCGTGGATTGGCCCAAATAAAAAAGATCTTCATTGGGCCTTTAATATGGCCCAATTATATTTATGGGTCGTCGCTGCTTGTTTGAGTGGCCCATATAATAATGGGCTGAATTTCAAAATTTTCTTTTTACCGCTTATTCAGCTCTTATTTTTAAAGTATATATATTAAATATTTTGGATTTAATTTATATGACGATCTCTAATAAATATACTAAGAAATTAAAACGAAAAATGAGAAGAAAAAAAAAAAATGCTTTGGGCAATCTCTAAGCTACAGTTTCACCCAGGTGACAACAAGGTAGTACAAGACAAGTGACGATGATGTCTATTAATTTGTCTCAGGTGATATAGATAAAGCAAGAAAATGGGGGTTACTACTCACATATTCTTACTGCGTATGTTTTTTTTTTTTTTTTTTTCCTTTGTTTGTAAGATACAGTTTCTTATTACAAGCTAACTGTGCATTTAATATAACCTGATAAATCTACTTTCTTGAGAGGCTACTGACCTCTCTTCCATCTATTACACACAAAGCAGCCGACTTGACCCAATCGCCACCCTCCTCAACGTTCTTCTGATATCCACCAATGGCTTTCTCGATCTGAACGAGGGTTTACATGCCGGATCATCCATGACTGGCCAACTTACACTTTTATTAGTACATCTTTGTCATGCTAAACTGACCGGCAACGACCTTTCTGTGAGCAACCGAGGTGGTGGTGGCGGTTGCTGCACCAATGCCACTGTATTGGGAGGCCTTGGCCTGTAGAAAGTTAGCGTCAATGGATATTTGGTCCTTGAGTTCGATCTTGTTCACTCCGGCACGTGTCATATAAAAGGGGTTCGGGTCAATGCTGATGGCTATGTCTGTTCCTATTTGGGAAGCCATGCCACACTGGGAAGCTTGCTTGGTGGCCCTTAGTGAAATATCCAGTTTCGTTTCTGCTGCAGATCTTTCTTGATTTGCTGCATAGGGTTTCTGGTAATGGTATGCAGGAGGAAGAATGGCACCTCTGATCAACGTTCTAGGATCGTATGGTTCCTTCACTCGCATTCCGCTTTCATCTGCTATAACTGGTCCAACCACTCTTCCAGGCTTGGCTGCTAAAGTTGAGGAATCAGTAAATTTGATAATTTTGGATTGTCATATACATGAGACAAGAAAAGTTGCACAAGTACCAAATGGGATCTTTTGTGGTGCCTGCAAGGTTCTTGATATATTTGTTAGCCGTCCTTCGCTATCTCGGGAATTCTTGCTGTATGCCTGTTCGGAGATCTTCCCATCTTGGACGGGTACGTTATTTAGTTGGTCCTTAGAATAGACCGGGTTCGAGTGTACAACTGTTGACCTGGTTATATCAGGCAAGCATATTTGTCATCCATGTCTATACAGAAAACTAAGGAAACAACCATGCCCATACATGATAATTGATACCAAATACGAAACAATAATTGCAGTAGAGGAAGAAGCAAACTTCTGCCACTAAAATCTAGACAGATGATTGACTAATCCAAGCGTGAGAAGAAAAATACATGCATGTATAAATGTTCAGTTTCCTTCAGTAAATGAACTATTTATTGCCAATGAATGTCTGGGTAGCAAAGACGTTATTTGCATTGTGCAGACATAATAGAATACTGCGAGATTCAAATGAGAAAACAACAAACTACGGTACAAAATGATTGGAATAAGACTATTATTGTGAGATCCCATGTCGGTTGGAAAAGGGAACGAAACACTCCTAATAAGGGTTTGGAAACCTCTCCCCCTACCAGACGTGTTTTAAAACCTTGAGAGAAAGCCCAAATCAGATAATATCTATTAGCGGTGGACTTGGGATGTTATATCAAAGTCAGACACCAAACGATGTGTTAGCGAGGATGTTGGGCCCCCAGGAGGTGGATTGTGAGATTCCATATCGGTTGGAGAGGGGAATGAAGCATTTCTTATAAGGGTGTGGAAACTTCTCCTTACCAAACAACTTTTAAAATCTGGAGGGAAAGCATTTCTTATATCTACTAGCGATGGACTTGGACTGTTACAACTATCACATTAGTGACGAAGGATTGCAATGGCATGAGTTTAGGATGATAGTTGATGAGCTCCATCACTCGCCCAGGTACGAGTTTAATATGGAGGCGTACACAAAATTTCCTTTAGAAGAAAGAATCATATGTACCTTGGGAGGGATACGTGCTTTCTGTCGAGAGGAATTGCCGGTGCACTTTTACCACCATTTTCCTCCAGATGTGCAAACTGCTTTCTAAATTGATCAACAGCACTGCACATACATACATGTGCAATAAACCATTAGTGACGAAGTAATTTTGAAGAAGACACCCCCCCCCCCCCCCCC